GGTATCACTGTGAAGAGAAAGTTTAAAGTTTCTCGAAAACTATTGAACCCCTCAGTTAACATGCATTGCGGTTGTCCTTCTGCAGGAATAAATCAGATCGTTCGAGTTCTACTATACATGGTTAACCACCAAATTAGAGCCCTGCGCAAGCAATAAGTTCGATATATGTCATCTGTTAGTGCAATTCGTATACAATGGATAACCATAGGGTGTAAGAGGCTTGAGAATCCATGGCAGTGGGGGAATAGTCCAAACCCTCAACTATTTCGGTCCGAAACTATGCGTTTAACTCCCGCTCGCAGAGAAAATTTCGCGGAGGCATGCATGTGGAGAAGCTGTCTGCGAAAAAAACCAAGTTGTAGAACACACAAACAAGGAAAATCTTTTATCAACGTACAATTTTGATCCCCAGGAATAAGCGCCGCCGAAAAATATGATATCATTTTCTTGCACCTGAAAAAACTCATTTTGCCAAGAAAAGGTGGGAAAGATCTCTCTGAAGGGCAGAAAAATTGCGCAAAGCCAGCAGTTTTAAAACATCACCTTGCTTGTGTTTCTGTCCCCTTAAATGATTTTCGAAATAACATCCCCAAAGGATTATTGCTCCTGACTCAGTGCCCAGCTACACACTAGCACGATTAGGAAGCATCCAAAAAAAGTCTGGTTGCATCATTTTGGGCAGTTTTGTTATACATGCTGTTAACTTTCTGTGCGCCTAATGTTACAGCGAAATTCTACACTACTGTCAAGGCTCATTTGGCTACATGGCAATCGCATTTTACCAGCTGGCTAAAAAGCAGGCTGATGAACCCGCCGTGGATTCGTTTAACAAACCACATCTGTCAAAAGTATTTCAAGCTCCAGAAAGAAAAAGTAGTATCTAGTTCGTTCCGTGAGATTTTCAATTTCTTGCGCATTCCTCTAACTCAAACATTCTAACTTCTCTTGTCAGCAAGGTTTTACCGTATATCTGAGCGCCTAAGCTCCATTTATAGCGAGCAGCGGTCGCAGAGCGTTGGGTTAATTTGCCTTATGCGACCGCCCCACGACAAGGTGCCACACTGATCAGTGATATCCACGAACTAGCAGTAGTCTTCCAAACACTGTATCAGGTTGGACGTTCTATACTGGAAAAATTAACAGAGAGAGAGGAATTCGCAGTTATTATATAAGATACCCGTAGCTCTGCTAGCCACGTGGGGTGGAGAAAGAGCGTCTCTGTTAATTACGTGACGTAATTATTTGTTTCTCTATTTCTCAGGCTAATTCATCACTTCCGGTGACTGCTCAAGTTTCAAAACTGAAATGTTCTGTTTTATACAAAGTTGATTCTACCTCAACCGTTTTTCTATAGACAACTTGTTTAAATTTGTTTTCTAGGCTTGTTGTTAAAAATTTGCCCCACTTTGAACTGAAAAAACAATTTTGCCGTTTAACTTGCCAGATGTCACACTGCCCTTGATATGCTAAATGCCCAAGTTTCAATCCAGCCGTCAGCCTATATTCAATTCTCCTCACGATTTACTGTTAATTTCCTATAGAACCCCGGTCTACCGGGTCCACCGGGTGCTAACACTAACAACCACTAACCCACCGCTACGCACAACTACGCACTGATGATGTCACCTCGATTGGTGATGAAACGTTTGCAACCAAATTGCCCAGCTCAGCGAACAAGCCAACGACCAGACCAATTCCTTGCTTTGAGATCACGGCCTTAGCAGTCCCTTCATTAGGAGTGTGCTTGTCCTTACTAGAACGATCTTGTCCTGAAATATTCTGACAGATTTATTCTTTCAAGTCTTTTAAGGAGCACGCTACTCACATTATCATAAACCCTAGAAGGCGCACCATATAGACGCAGTTTCGGAATTTTCTTTACCCACCGGTAAAAGGAGGCCAATCGTGATCTGTAAAAAAGCGGTTTATTCCGTGTTATCCTCCGCCAAAAACACTTACAAAGCACTTTACGAGATTTACTGCAAAGGCGTAAATCCGGCCATTGAAAAAAGGAGGATGCCAAATGTTGAACGGTGTACGCTTGGTTAAAGCTAGACTAATAAGCCAGACATAAGTTGTGTATACTTTGTGAAGCTCATGAATGGCAAGTTTTCTCGAATTCTTAACTCATCGGCGCTCGGTTAGATTCATGTTTAGTGAGAATCTTACTCCAACTCGTTAGGGAACAATTTTGAAATAATTCGGATTCCGGTATCTAATTCAAGAACAGTCCGCAATGTATGAAGAGTCTACGAAGGTTATCAAATCTTATGTTCTTACAGTCAAAGCGGTTCGCGATAGCGGAAGTCTAACTGCTTATTACCGCATGGAAACATGGTGATTTTGACAGAACAAAACAGGTTCACAAAAATGGTAGTTAACTTACAGGTTAGGACCTGTTGGCAAACATACTCCAGAATCGTGAAATGTATTTGCATAAGCCAACAAGATGAAACCACTCAACCCATCATGGGACTCAATATTTCAAGTTAACCTTGATAATGCAACCTTGTCTACAATGAGAAGGGATGACCTGATGTGAAATCGGATGAGCAGTTATGGATAATCCATTAGAAACAGATATCTAAAGATTTGACTTTCTGGCGTGTTTTTATGCTTTATTGTGTGTTATATTCAATTCACCATGGCCGCCATCTACGTACCCAAACTACGCACTCTTGTATAAGCATTGCCATGGAAACCAATTTCAGTATAATTCCCGCCCACGAATTTCACCAACAGTGGATTTTATCAACTAATTAACGCTGCTTGTTTGCGGTAAGCGATTCTTGGGCCTCAGTTTTTAATTAATTTTCACATCCAATTAGTCCGAAGATTGTATTAATAAGCTGTAATCGAGCACAAATTTTCTCATGGATCCCGGATGAACATACACTGGACTCGCTTGACATTGATGTGTGCTGTGTTTCGATAACAACATTTCAATATTCATGCATATGTGAGCTACCCCCACATCACTCCCCATTCTATCCCGGCTGCACACCTCCGACGATCAAAAGGCTACCGAGCGCAATCGGCAGGAGTTGGTATTGTCCTAAATCGCTGAACGGCAGTTATTTCGCATGGCTGGATGCCAGCTGACTGCTCCCGTGCGGTTTCTTTGGCAGCATCGGTGAAGATGTCTCACAATTGAGAATTTCATCGGTGTCTGTTCATTATGTGTGCTTACGCTCCAACTGATTGCAGCTCAGACGCCGTCAAAGATATAATTTACGACTCCATGAATACCCTCTTGCGGTGGGACAAAAGCTCGGACATCTGAGTGGTCGCGGGAACTATGAATGCAGAGTGGGTAGGCTTAGTGTATCTGAGACTCAATCACGAGTTCGACATAGATAGTAATCGGTACGTACGGAAAATGGTGAACCATTGCTCTATCTATGTGCTGATCTCAGGCTGTTTCATGCAGTACTGACTTTCAAAACACCCGAAGTAGTTTCGCCACACGACGTTCTTCAGCGCCATGCCAGCCATACTGGCATCAGTTTCCGATGGCATGGATCATTATCTGACTGTCGGTTGTTTTGAACAACATTTGTGTATTTCTACCACGCACTCATCCATGGTAGCTTTTCCCAATGTTTTCTAAGGCCGCGTAGAGCGCGGACAACCCACTTGGCAACTTATAGCCCGGCAGATCTTGATGTTGGAGGAATTTACCAGAATCGTCTTCTAGATTCTCTACCATCAGAATTAAACTCATACTGGAACGAGATTGCCACCTCTTTGAGTAGTGCTGGGAATTTTGTTGGTGTTGCCCTACCACCAAGCGCCCGCGAGAAGAGTGCGCGATACTCGAATATTAGTCCGAATTCTTTGAACATCAATTGCCATGGCAAACGGTTGGCACTTTTCTAAAGGCCAGAGGTGAAGCGGAACCCCAGAAAGTGAACGTAGAAGCTTCTTCACGAGCGCGTATTTTCTCCCAAGCGCCATTGAGCTCCTGGTTTGGATGATCTCCACCCGCATTGTTCAGAGCGGGGGTTAAGTTTTCACTCAACGCTTTTCTGATCTGTTTGCTTACATTCAGGGACAGACAACTGCAGATATTTGGTGATAGTGCTTATTTTCAAAAAAAAGGCGCATAGTGTGTAAAAGACACACAGAGATCAGCTGGACCTCGGTCGTGACGAGAGTGTTGACGTCAATTTTGGTTCGATGACTTTGGTTGACTCATGAGATACTGACCCAAGAGCATCAAGTAGGATTCCGGCCTGGTAGATTCCCGTTGACCAGATCGTCACACATCGTCAGGCGCTAGAACAACGCTATATGTATTAATGACCCACAATTCCAGTGTTCCGGGATTTCCAAGGCGCACTCGCCTCGGCTGATTGCTCTGTCGTTCTTGATACGCTTGGCAATCAGAGAATGGTCAGATAGTTTGTGAATATATTACGTTTTCCTTTCGTTTAGACCTCCAGACGTGTCGGATAATACGGATAGCTCTCCAAAGGCTTCTGTACACAAACCGGTGCCCGTCCGGAATGTCAACTTTCTCCATTCTTTTTTAACTTCGTGATCGATGACATAATGAAGCAAACGCAAGAAGATCTCTAAAACCCTGGAGTTCAAATAGCCCGTGACGAAAACCTCGTTGATCTGGAATATGCAGATAATGTCGTTCTCATCTTCAAAGCGGACGAGGAGGCACAATTGTTCTTGGATGAACTGACCAAAGTCCTCCCGTATTTTGGGAAGACATTGAAATCCGTAGACCATTCGACTATCTTGAAATGCATATTGATTCTGATTTACAGATAAGGCCTATGCACGGATCTACACTGTTCGGTTGTGTTCGATTATTTGAGACACCTATGGCGTTAAAGCAGTGCATCCCTGAATCCCAAGGACGTATATATGTGGCTGTGAGGCTTGGCCTGTTCGAGCAGTGGAAACGAGACGTCATTAGGAGTACGACAATCGTTGTCTCGGAACTGTAGCTCTTGTGGGTTGGTGTCAGCATATCCATATCGCAATTAGAACGCGAATTCCGTTGTGTAACGTGTACGTACATTGAAGAATGTATTCAGCGCGTTTGAGTCGGAAGCTGGGAACAAGTCCTCGAACAAAGGCCGACGTGTTTCTACTGACTTTTGGGCCAGACGTTTGAGTAAAAATCTCGACGTTTGATACTTCAATCTTTCTTCTGTCTGGAAAACCGAGAAGTACAATTGTTCGCACAATCCTTTGTCCACTGTTTTCCCACCCCACCCCCTTTCTTTACAAGTAAAATACATGGGTCATTTGGCTCCCAGCTATGTAATTGTTGGGCCCCATACAACCCAACGGCTATGAACAATGACCAGAATGACACCCCGTTGAATCAAAAAGGCCAACTCTACTTGTCAGGTTTCATCATTCAACTATGAGAATATGTGACTCTCATTGGGATCTCCTACTTCCCCGAATTTATTGTATGCTGCATCTCCAAAAAACGCATATAACACACGCTTTCGCTTATGATAGTTAGAACACGAAGGACAGACTCATCTCCTTCCAATTCCATGCTGTATGTCTGCAGTGACCCAGAAGCGAGGACTGGTGGTGAATTTTGGTGTGGGAGATCAACTCAGCCTGAGAGCTGAAAGCGCAATGCTGGATTGGATCCCAGTGAGCAATAGTCTTTGTGCCGTCTTGTTAACCAGTTCGGTCAAGCTGAGTAAAAATGCTCCAGAAAAGCGTGCCTGTTTTCATTGTCGGTTTTTTCCCAAACGGACTGCATTGAAAGATAATATGAATTTTCCGGGCCAATTTGTTAAGCAAGCACCCCTCAAGCGCTAGATGGTCAAGAGCCTAAGGAAGTACCTGGAGTTGTGGTGACCATGTATCTCTCTCTCTCTAGAACACNGTTCTTGGATGAACTGACCAAAGTCCTCCCGTATTTTGGGAAGACATTGAAATCCGTAGACCATTCGACTATCTTGAAATGCATATTGATTCTGATTTACAGATAAGGCCTATGCACGGATCTACACTGTTCGGTTGTGTTCGATTATTTGAGACACCTATGGCGTTAAAGCAGTGCATCCCTGAATCCCAGGGACGTATATATGTGGCTGGGAGGCTTGGCCTGTTCGATGGAAATGAGACGTCATTAAGAGTACGACAATCGTTGTGTCGGAACCGCAGCTCGTGTGGGTTGGTGTCAGCATATCCACATCGCAATTAGAACGCGAATTCTGTTGTGTAACGTGCATGTACATTGAAGAATGTATTCAGTATCAGAGGCTGCTTTGGTTGTGACGTGTTGCGTATACCGCACCATCGTTTGCTGATGGGAGTACAGTTTTTTATGCCCAACTCAGAATGGCACGGAAGTGAGGTGGCCGATCCTTGACCTGGCGGAGAGGTATGAAGGAGCTTGGGTCCTGCCGGTGCTACTGGCCATCCAGGATAGGAACCGCGTGATCCGCATGGCTCATGGTTGAAGACACTGCCCGACAGGTCTGACAACCTACGCCAGTGGCGTTCTATCTAGATCGCCTTAATGAGTTGCCGGAGGTGTAGCCAGAATGAATGATTTCAGTAAGCTAGCACTAATTTCTTTCCCCATTCAATTCTATTTTTACTTCCAGACTATCAGCATGTCCATATTCTTGGAAGAAGAAAAGCCACCTGCCCCTATGAAGACAGGTTAGGTAAATTCTTCCCTGGAAACCATCCCTTCCGGTCGCCCAAAATTTGGCCATCAACGACGGCGTATTGTTCAAAATGGTCGAAATACTTCTAAAACCAGAGTTCAGGCTTCTTCAAGCGCCACTTTTTGTTCACAAGTGCGCGACTAGTGAGGCATTGATGCTTCACTTACTTCGTCCATGGGTTAAGCCAAACATTCGCAGTACATTACAGGTACTTTTCCAAATAATGCTACTCACATCGGCAGCCCAAACTGACCTTGAGCTTGCACTTTGAGCTTATCAAGTATGCAGTCTCAGACTTAATGTATTACATGAACGAAGGTTTCATCCGTGATATTTAGCTGGCCTACTTTTATTTCAGTTGGAACTTCAACTGTCGCATTAACCACTGAGTACTCATTCTTGACCAGCCTTCGTTTCCGCGCAAGCTTTCAAAATATACCTACTCACGGTGAAAATGCTTACAAACTTTCCCTGTTGCCGCGAAATTTTGCTGCTTTTTCCGAATTTTATCACTTCGCACAACATTTAAGCCGTTAGTATACTTTCGAAATAATTCACTCGATAAATATACTGTGCTAGTATGCCCATTCGATTCACATCAATCAGAAATAAACGAACGGACGTTGAATGCATAGTTGACGGAAAGCCTAAAATATGTACGTTCTGGCGTGTTATTTCTGTAGATTCTTACATGAATTCACCCTGCAAAATTAGACGATTGA